GTAATAGACCTTGATGCACAATCCAACTCCAACTGGTGGTATCCTTCATTGAGGTCTAATTTTGAAAACTGGTGGCAGGTGGTAGTTGTAAATTATCAGCGTAAATTTTATCTCCATCCTTCAACTTTTGTGACGATGGTGTATCTATTTCTATCTGCGAGTATCTTTTTTTCAACATTATTCAATACCTTACTTGCACAAGCAATTATATTATTAGGTGATTGAGCCAAGATGGCAGCAATGACCTCTGGTCCTGCATCAACAATTATTTCGGTTTGTTTATGTGTGTCATAATAGGAGTTAATACATTTTTTACAATACATTCTTTTAGATCATCGAATGCTGCTTGTTTTGTGCTGTTCCATGACCATTTTCTGTTTGCTGTTATCTTAACGATTTTGTTTATCTGCTAGGTTTGGAATAAATCTGCCGCTGTAATGTATCATACCTAGTATGCTCCTTACTTCAGATACATTTGATGGTGGCTTGAGTTGTACAGAGGCTTCAATTTTTTTTCCATCTATCTTGACGCCCTATTCACTGAACTGATAACCAAAGAATGTAAGCTTCTCGACACTAAATAGACATTTTTCATAGTTTAATGTAAGTATACTTAAGAGTATATTATAGTATGGTATTTTCGATCAAGATTAGTCAAAGAGGTGCATTTTTCTCGAGACTGTTTCTAAGTAAGAACTTTCAAGTTTCTAGTGTGTAAGAGTTAAGTTTTTTAATGCGCAAAAACTACCCACGATTCATGGGGAGCACTTGATTTGTGACCTACCAGCCATACTGCATGTATTCCCGAATGCCAAGTAGTTGGAACTGGTAGGCTTTAATACACACAGTTACTAATGAAAGTAAAAGATTTAAAATAAAGCTTATATTATTAATATAAAGGGAATAAAGGTGACACTATTAAAATAATGAGTAAATAAAAGTGAGTTTAAGGTAATCAGGTAGTTTATATTTTACAAGGTGCAACGATTTGCATTTGATAGAGCTTAACCGTTTTCTAATATCGCTGAAGATTTTATGTCTTTGTCCGATGTCTTAGATCGGTGGCAGATCAACAAAAATGCAGTAGGCACGAATTATGCTACACATGATAATCTTTCAGTGATCAGAAATAATAGTGAGAGCACAAAAGCAAAAGCTGATTGTGTTACAGTGCTATCGGTCTCAAATCCAGCTTATAATACCGTTGGTGAGTTGAGTACTTTCCAGATATACATTTTGTAGTTAAAAAAGTTTATTTTCCCTATTAAAGAAACGAGACCCACCTCACGAAATGTATAAGGAAAATGGTAAAAATATAAGAAACGCATTTAGGAGAGAGTATAGGAAACAGCAAATTTCGATTCAAGAAGGCATAACTTATGTACCAAAACGATTTTTAGTACAAATGCATAGACAAAATGCATGGAACACACTGCATTAAACTTCAGCATACGTGATGGAATGTGGCAAGCCATTGAGAAATCTAATGCGGTACCAATTGACAACTATTTGTCAAAAATAAAATAAAAAATATAATAATCCCGAACAGGAAAGAGTATAAAAAAGTTCGAACGACGATTCAAGAAGGCACAATTTAGAAAGCAAAACGATTTTTAGTACATATACTTCAACAAAATTCATTGAACACACTGCATTTAAGTTATTAAAGAACTTTAGTTTTTTAATTGATTCCTTGGAACAATTTTTTTCTTGTTTGTGCCAATAGCCCTCCAAACATTTCTGCCTGTGCTCTATTATAAAATCCTCCAATACCATACATTTCAATAACACGTGCATGTTATCACCAACAATTAAATCGAAATAGAACTTATTAATAATTATAATTGTCGTCGAACCTTCAGTGAAATTTGCGTACGTGAACGCAAAAGCGTTTTGAGTCACCGCCAACTGGAGGCATGATTCCAATTTCGTCGCGTTCAACGATGCAACAATTCGCATATTGGACTCAGTACATTCCTTTGTTAGATGATATTCGTGTTCCGGTCTTTGCAAATACCTTGAGCAAGATGATGTCTGATCGCATCCCCTCTGTTTAACGCACACGACGTGGATTAGTACCAACCATAACGTCAAATTATTCATTTCTCGGCTTTGAAAAATAATAAATTTAAATATATCGCCCACTACAGTCAAAAATAAACAATTATAAAGAGTTTGATTGGGAACCGGCTATTATATTATTATTTAAAAATGATTTAAATTGTTACGCGCGTCGTCGTTTACGAATTGGGCGTAGGTTATGGGTAAACTACGGTAGTTTGCATACAGCAACATATTGTGAGGCATTCTACACTACGGTAACATACGCGAGATCCAACGTTAGTCAATTGCACTGACTGTTGACCCTGTCTATGGGGTCGCGGCTGAGTGCATCCGATAATGTGAGCTTACCTACGAATATTATAATAACACAGTAAAAATTATTGCTGCACGCACAGGTTTATAATACGATATTATAATAGTTAAAGGAAACAACATCAGCCAAAGTACCGCGAAACGGACTGCGAACATATTTGGATGTTTTTAATTTTTTATATAACACATTTATAAAAATAATTTACCCGTTTCATTCTTTATAGTTTATATAAAATATAATAATATCGTGAATATAATATAAACTATAAATAAATATATGGGTATAATATATGTTACCCATATGGCTATATACAGCTTTACTTGTTAAGTATTCGAATACTTGTATTTAAATAATTTTTTAATATAAAAAATACTTTTTGACAAGTGTATTTTAAACACTTTCAAAATAATTTTTCTTTGATTTTCATTACAAAATACTAAACATTTTTTTTTCTTTTTACCGTCGTATTTAAACATATAATATTTTTTACGCCCATTTAATGAGAACCTATAAGGATATAATTATATACGGAAAGGTATTCTCATATACGAAAAAATATATATATGCTGTCAATTTGGGCTTCAAGTATTACAATAGTGTTTCTCAAAAGTATAAAAATGTTTACGTTCTACAACGTAATATAAAATACCATTTTGACCTATATAATAAATTAGTTTACCTATCATCACACTTTTCAGTATGTTTTATTATTTCGATTCGCATATTTTGTACCAAAATGGTATGCCATTATTTAATATTGCAAATCTTAAACATATTGTACTATTTAATAGCTATAATAATTGTTTAAAAACATAAAATTATGTATACAATGGATTTTGTACCAAAGAGGTACAGGTACCGTTATTTTATGCTATGGGTCTTAAACACAATGTTTCTATAGCAGTGGTTTTCTATTATTTTATCAATACACATGAATTCGTTTGACATCATTTCGGAAATGAATTTACCATACTAATGGAACAATGTTCAATTTTAACGTAAGTTTAACTCCATAGATGTTGTAAAAAATATATTTATTCGAATATATTGGCTGCAAATACATTTAAAAACCTCAGAAATTGTATACAGAAATTGGATTAAATCATGATTTAAACATAAAAAAAAATGATCATCATGCTTAAAAATATCACCCTTTGTATTTACCTTTTTAGGTATTAATCGTTGGTGATATAATAACATCAAACTGTTAACAGTCGGTTTGAAAATTTTCATTTTTCATAAATAATAAGACACTCATTTGATCATTGATTATAAAACACATTAACGTTAACCCAAATAAGTGGTACAGAAATTAATAAATATAATATCATAAATAGATTTTATGTGTAAATTCTTGAAAATGTAGTATTTTGTGTGTAAAAAAATGTGGCCATAGAAATAAAATAAAAATACTGGAAACTCAAAGTAAAAACAAAATAATAAATTGTTTTTATAAACATAGGTAGTTGGTACTATAGTCTATGTTGGTAGAATGTAGGTACCTTTTACACAAAATAAATTTTATTTTGATACTGATGGTTGATACTTGATTAATTAAGATTATGCTTACCTATATTTATATATAATAGTTACCTAGCTAAATATAATATAGTAAAACAAATTAAATGCAGCTATGCAGTCCAATGCTGCTGATGATGTCAATAAAGGTATTTTTCCTTTAACAAAATTTTATTTTCATTTAGCAACTTATAGAAAAACCTATAAAGACCTATAGAAAAAAAACTAAACAAATTTGAAACAAAAAATGTTCATATACAGCTCAAAAGAACTCAAAATATTTTGAAAATTTTATGGTTTATAGAGATATAAACGCTATTATAAACAACCAGGGAAAATTTCAAGTATATACGGTCATTTATTTTATAGTTACATTAAAAATCAAAATATTTTTTGTTGATTTTGTCGAAAACCTATTATTAGTAAAAACATTCCTGGTTTTCCTTAATTTTATTTCTGTTTTATCAGTGCTTTTGGACACTAATAGGAAAATGGGATTTTGATCAGTGCAACAACTAGATTCACTGTACCGTCGAAAAAGATACTACTGAAGTTGAAAATCAAACCATTATTTCGGCTACTTATCGAGTACACAGACACAAAAAAAATTAAAAAATTAAAATGAATTATAATAATAAATATAATTATCAATACTTTAACTTTTCTTATTAAGGAAAAACCTAAAATAACTATTTTAGTTATTTTGTTGTGATTGAATATTGTTATTCGTGAGTACTTAAAACTTCTAAAGTGTACTATTATATATCTATGATAGTATGACAGTTTTTGTTGATGTATAACGCGTTATAAGTACCTAATGGATATTGTGATATGATTAGTTTGGAATTTATTATAGGTACCTATTATAGGTCAATTTTTTGTTTAATACCATAGATATGTATATAATATGTCTTATACATAGACTGACATACCGTCTCCGCTCAGAATCGTTTTTCTTATACAATGATATTATATCGTTGAAATAAAATTTAATATCATCCATTATACAGTGACCCACTTGTAACCTACTGTACAGCAGAGAGACACCCACTTGCCCACCTTTTTTAAAATTTATGTTTATTTGTAGTTCCACGAATTACGAGAAATGTCATACAAATGTTCCAAAGCTCGGGTTATTCAATGGATGTCTAATATTTGTAAGTACGTATGTACAAATACTGGTTTAATACTTAAACCAGGTAAACACGCAGCAATTGAATTAAGAGATGGTTCAAAAATGGTAATTATATAGTGCTTATTATTTATTTGTTCATTACGTACCATATATTTATACATAACATTATAACAATTATTTATTTTCCTATGTATTTTTTGTTTAAGATAATTGAAAATGCACATTTGCCTCTATCAAGAGAAGATCTACATTTGAACTAAATATACATAAATATTTCCATTGATGATATATTGCACTATTCAAAAAAAATCATCTATCCTTACACAAACACAACTAGTAATAAATTAAATCACAAAATACATCATTGGTCAACAAGTACTGACCAAGACACATGATTTGTCAAACGCACAAAATAATTACCAAAGTAATCAGCAGTAACACTGTGGCAATAATTAATAGTAAACCGAACAAAGAAGAATTAGTAAACGTGGTGGAGATACGACCGTATGTCCCACCATTAAGCACGTCATATTAACAAAGTCACCGTACCGACTAGAAACCGAGGTTTTTAGTCTCAACCAATTGAAGCTCAGCAACTTCCAACCAACCAGGAAGGAGAGTGAGCCACAAAAATAAGTATATAATACCGAACATAGCAATTTATACTCATCAATTCAGAATGGTACCAATAATGGCAGTGTACGAACAAGCTAAACGAGAAGCAGCAGAAAAAAGAAGACAACTTCTACAACAGTTAAAAGAGGACAAAGAAAACTTAAATGGATTAGCATCAGTAACTATGGTCAAAATTCAAAATCCAAAAATAGACATGAAGAAGAAGGAAAAACACATAATGGAATGGGTAACCGCAGTAAACAAGGCAAGACCCATCATTGAAACACAGCAGTGGGATCAACCTCAGGATTGGAGATTGGTAACAGGAAAGACATTGCACAAATATATTCCGTTTGAAATGAATATTAGTATAATAAAAGCACTGGACTACGTTACTAGCAATCTTGAACTACACGGACCACCAACAAAAAAGATTAAGACAGCCAATGATGACACTCCCATCTGGAACATGTCAAGAAACGCGATCCGGAACACGATATACAAATCATCAATACGTAGACGTCAAATATCTACCCCAACAAATTTGTCAACAATTTACTTCACTCACCCGGTGACAAATCTGGGGGGGGGAGTTGTAACGGAGCAAACTAACAAAAACGGCCCTTCTCAAGGCCACTACATTTGACATCTACAATATAGTCACAGACCTACCGTGAACAAAAAATGAACGCCCGACCAATCAGAAATAGGCGACGCTTAAAGGCTGATTTCTAAATACATATTTTAAGTACAGACAAGAAAAGGATATCTATGAATAGAAGAGATGACACCGATTACGTAGATACCATTTTTACCTTTGTAATACAAATTCCGGCTAAAGTACAAAATAAACCGTGCCGACTGTAAACACACCAATAAGCATACAGGTTTACTAGTCGGTACGGCGACGGGTAAATATACGGGTGCACGCTCATACAAACTCATCAGTCTTCTTCCACCTTTCAACACAACACTACACATCAACACAGTAGCGGGAAAGAGGAAGACAACAACCAGCAGCGATCAGAATCATAAGCAGCGGAAAACAGGCGATCCAGTGAAGGCGAGACGAATAGCAGTAGATACAACACAGGAGAGTTATTGTTCCGGACGACTAGCATCAGTCATATTTGGAAATACAACCCGGCGGAAAATAAGTAGCACCAGCGAATCAAGAAGCAGTATTCACACGACGGAGACGGTCAACGCACATCACCGGCGGACCAAGAAGCTAACCTACGGCAGTAGTGAGTGACTACTAGCGGCTTTACACGCGATTCTCCTCCTCTACCGATAACAGTCGATCTACCATTGCGACTACAAAAAGGTCCTTTTCAGGACCATTACTAAGCCATACCCAGCGTGCCTGTCTAGGTGTTCGTCCTGAATCTCTCGACCTAACATTGACTTGTCCAAGCTCATAATTAGGTAGTCAGATTTCGTTCCCTATTACATGTATATAACCTACTATTGATTTACGTACTTAATATTGTTAAATTTAAATCGCGCCTCCATAGGCCCGAAACGGTCCACTTACTTAAGTCAGCCGTACGGCCCGGATTAAATAAATCCCTAATAACTGTAAATAATTTATTTTAAAAACATTGTACAATAAACTTTATGATACCGTAAACAATATTCTTATTTAATAAAAAACAGTTTGTCGAGTATCGGCGCACTGTTTCATACTTTCATGTATCTTACAATTATTTATAATATAGGAACTATTTTTTTATAGTCTTAAATGTATTAATATTTCAAGAGTTAAATAAAAACGTAGGTCTTGTCACTATTTTGCAATTTTTTTTAACAATTTTCAATTCTTGAAGGTTCCGCAGTATTATTCTTTTTTTCAAAGAACCGTAATTATTTCAAAACGTTTTAACAACATATTACGTCTATTGGCTATTTTTATTAAAAAAAAAATATAAAACTAATATAAATCTTACTTACTTTTTTTAAATTTAATTTAAGTATTATAACAATCAATCACAAATGTTAAAATTAAATTTGAAATGGTCATGATTTTTAAATATATGTAAGAAATAAAAAAAGAACAATTGCATTCGTATCTCTATTGAAAATAAACAAAATAATTTGCTGTAATAGACCAATGTTTCTTTTAAGTCTACCACCTAAAGGACCAATGTCTTGTTTGTTCATTATGCCACATCCTAAAATAATTTTTGGGTGTTGTATATTGAAAACACGAGTAGCTTAATAATATCAGAATTCAGACATTAGAAAAATGAATCAAGCGTTTTTATAACAGTTAAAGAATTTAATATTCTTAAATGAAGTGAACACGTGGCAATTATAAACATTACGATATGGGAAGAACCAAAAACAAACATAAAATTAATGAATAACCTCTACAAAGGTTAGGAATGTTATAATATCGTTTCAGTGGCGACGGCAGACGGTTCGGAGGTCACCTGTCACATGCATCGACTGTCGTTGTGTGGTGGTGTGGCCGGGACACGTTGAGATTCCAGTTTGAATCGAGTGGTATTGGTGACGCGGCAATAGCCTTTTCCACAGATTTTTCGTCTTTAAAAAAAAGAAACGCATAATTGTGCAACATCTTGGCGCCAGTCTGCTTGTTGTAGCCCTCGTATACCTTTACGTATGTGACTTCGCCAAACTGCTCAAACAGTAACTTGAGTTGCCCGTACTTGACGTGTAACGGCACACATCCGATAAATAACTGACGGGGGTTGAGCTTGCTGGAAGTGACGCTTTGTTGCTGCTTTCCACTACCACCATCGGCACCGCCGCCAATGGCATAAGGAGAGTATATTGCTGCGAACCGAATGCCCAGAGTGTTGGTTGTGAAACGTGACCGGAGAGCAGCCAACTCGCTCGAATCGAGTCCGTGATCACCATTTTCATTTGAAACGCCAGTGGATATGGTCGGCCAGTTGCCATGCATTTTATTTGACGACGGTGAGAGCGACTGCAACCTCGAAAATGTATATATTAACGAAAACATTGGATTTGACGACGTGGAATCGGGGTACGACAACGGAAGTAGCGGCAGTTGTGATGGTGATGTGGACGACACGGACGACAGCGATGACGGTGTAGATGACGTGGATGACATAGGAGACGTTGCATCCGATGACACCGATGACGACGACGACGACAACGACGACGGTGACGATCCACTAATTCTGGACGACAACAAATTGGACACGTGCCGGCTAGTTTCGAAGCACAGCACATCGTTGAGGATCTTTCGCGTGTGAACGTCGATGACGAAGAGCTGGACAAACTCGCGGTACGCCAACGCCCGCCCCGGCCGCTCCACCTTTGGCACTACACCTACAATCAGCGCAACCGTCGTACTAGGAATGCTGCCACTGTGCCCAGACCAACAAGTCTCCACGGCACGCAGCTTCACGCAACGGTTGTCCATGGCCAGCCGGCTGTATTGCTTGCGAATTGCCCGGGGACCTGTGTACACGCGTCCACCGCCACCACCGTACGCCCTGGTGTACGAAAACCGAGCGGTGCGGTCATACTGGTGGCAGTCAGCCCGGACGACCGGATGTCCAGGCAGGGTGGTGTAATAGTCGCGGACCACTGTTAAGCCGGTACACAGAGCCGTCTGAAAACGGACCAGCGAACCACGGTCCTGCCGGCCGGCCCAGCCCTCAAAACGGCTGTGGAATGATGCAGCAACCTGGTCGCCGTCCTGCTCGTCGTCGCCCTCATGCTCGCCGTAAGCCGCGGTGGTCAGATAAAAGTGGTTGGAGACGACTGCCCGGCAGTCAGCACCCCGATAATGGACGATCAGTATCTGTCGCTGGTACCCGTCCTCGGCCGCAAGTACAACGATCAGCCCGTCGGAGCGTGTCCGTTGACACGTCACGACCGGCCACGCGCAACCACCAGAAACGTTCAGCGAGGCCAGCCGGTCAGCGATCTTGTGTGCGCCCGTTGTCGGCTCCGTCCACCGGCCGTTCCCAGTCACCTCAACGAATACCGAAAACCGGTCGTAGTACTTGGACATATGGTCGACTGGCGCACTACGATATGCTGATAGAAAGTCTTCACACCACATCCTCTGAGCTGTGGGTTTCGTTAATGAATATTTTCTTTAACTATGTATTATTTTGTTCGTGATGGATAACACAAAGTAATTAACTTAAACGCAGTTATAATCACGTGACGGTAAACTAAATGACGGTCAACGGAACTATACGATGGTGTTTCTTTTTGTCGTTAAATAGCTTGGAAAACCACGGTAACGAGCGTAAAATAACAAAATATTGACTAGTCTTCGTTGTAGATAAAAAAAAATATAGTAACACAGGTTTGATAAAAATTCAAATTCAAATGATTTAAAAAAAACACTATTGTGTATAGTATAAAACATATTAGGAAGAAGGAAATATAAAAAATAGACATAATAGGTAGTTTCATTCAAAATTACTACCGTCAAATAGGCCCACATAGAGTAGTCTTATAATATAAAAAAAGAATACGGTAGCGCTCCCATGACAGAAATTTGAACCAAATATATGGAACATATATACCTCCACGAACCTGGATACCACGATCTGTAGAAACGTGTGCCAATGTGGCAGTGTTTTTTGGATTGTGATTTGGAAGACCTTGGAGCACAAAATTGGAGGGAGATAGTACAGAATTGAGATAAGTGAGAGGATTTAGTGATGGCGGAAAAAACTATTTTAGAGTTATGAAGGCCAGAAGAAGAAGAAGAAGAAGAAGATTACTTGTTAGTTACTCAAGTACAAAAGTAATACGTAACGTTACATTTTTTACTCAAAAGTTGGTGGGCCTGCATTACCAGCTACTCCGTACCGCGGATTTTCGGTGTCGTTACTCGTCATTCGTGCGCCATCTTAGATTCATAACACTTTAATGATTTTGCCCAAATCGTGTGTGCGATCACATGCGTCTGTTGTCAACAAAATGTTATCATTGAATATTGTTTTTGGTTTTCCTCGCGAGTTGTTAATATTGTCATAGTGAACTCGGGCGGTTCATCCTTGTATCGGTACTTATTATTAAATGCACTGAGTGATAATTTCGAGTTTTCGTTAACTTACGCGTAGAGAGAACTCTACTGTACATTTGGAACGGACGTCGTCGGACACCGAAAAAATGTACAAACTACCCAGCCTGGCGAAAATGGAGTACTAAGCGTGCAACAACATCGACCGTGACACGTATGACTTGATGGACACACCAGACATCGATATGAAAAATTGTTTTGAGTCGCTGCTAGAATTATTAAAAATCGACAAAAGCCAAGACGAGCACAACGATAGGCAGACAATGTTCAGGCGGTCTCAGTTCGCCATCGAAGACGATAGGTTTAAACACATATGCGAGAAGGCAGCGTTCAACGGACACATCGATTGCATGAAATTAGCACACGAGATTGGCGTCCCTTGGGACACCGTGCGTGGAACGACCGGTTACGTGTCCGCACGGGAAATCGGATGCCACTGGAACAAGTATACGAGCACAACCACAGCGTCCAATGTCGTACAAAGTGTCTGAAATACGCACTCGAAAATGGATGTCCATGGGAAGAAGATACATGCCTAGCTTACGCCTTTGAGAGCGGGTGCTACAGGCAAGAATATACGTGCAGCCAGGCAACATTGTACGGTCACCTGGAGTGCCTGAATTACGCACACGAAAACGGATGTCCCTGGGACGAAGATACATGCATAGCTTACGCCTTTGAGAACGGGTGCCCCTGGCACGAATATACGTGCAGCTCCGCCGCGTTCAACGGCCACCTGGAGTGCCTGACTTACGCCTTTGAAAACGGGTGCTCCTGGCAAGAATATACGTGCAGCCACGCCGCATTGTACGGTCACCTGGAGTGCCTGAATTAATTAAAAAAATAAAGACCGACCATGCCCCATTCTGGTCGGATTAGAAATAGTCCACAAATCACAAGTATAATGAATCAATAGTAAGAATATTCTACTCCGCGCCAGATGGTGACACGGCAGGTATGTTAACCAAGCCGCTCGAGAAAATCCATGAAAATGACGTTAGCTATTCATAGTAGCGCGAGTTGTTAATATTGTCATAGTGAACTCGGGCGGTTCATCCTTGTATCGGTACTTATTATTAAATGTACTGAGTGATAATTTCGAGTTTTCGTTAACTTACGCGTAGAGAGAACTCTACTGTACATTTGGAACGGACGTCGTCGGACACCGAAAAAATGTACAAACTACCCAGCCTGGCGAAAATGGAGTACTAAGCGTGCAACAACATCGACCGTGACACGTATGACTTGATGGACACACCAGACATCGATATGAAAAATTGTTGTGAGTCGCTGCTAGAATTATTAAAAATCGACAAAAGCCAAGACGAGCACAACGATAGGCAGACAATGTTCAGGCGGTCTCAGTTCGCCATCGAAGACGATAGGTTTAAACACATATGCGAGAAGGCAGCGTTCAACGGGCACATCGAATGCATGAAATTAGCACACGAGATTGGCGTCCCTTGGGACACCGTGCGTGGAACGACCGGTTACGTGTCCGCACGGGAAATCGGATGCCACTGGAACAAGTATACGAGCACAACCGCAGCGTCCAACGTCGTACAAAGTGTCTGAAATACGCACTCGAAAATGGATGTCCATGGGAAGAAGATACATGCCACTGGCAGCGGGAAATCGGATGCCACTGGAACAAGTATACGAGCACAACCGCAGCGTCCAATGTCGTACAAAGTGTCTGAAATACGCACTCGAAAATGGATGTCCATGGGAAGAAGATACATGCCTAGCTTACGCCTTTGAGAGCGGGTGCTACAGGCAAGAATATACGTGCAGCCAGGCAACATTGTACGGTCACCTGGAGTGCCTGAATTACGCACACGAAAACGGATGTCCCTGGGACGAAGATACATGCCTAGCTTACGCCTTTGAGAACGGGTGCCCCTGGCACGAATATACGTGCAGCTCCGCCGCGTTCAACGGCCACCTGGAGTGCCTGACTTACGCCTTTGAAAACGGGTGCTCCTGGCAAGAATATACGTGCAGCCACGCCGCATTGTACGGTCACCTGGAGTGCCTGAATTAATTAAAAAAATAAAGACCGACCATGCCCCATTCTGGTCGGATTAGAAATAGTCCACAAATCACAATTATAACGAATCAATAGTAAGAATATTCTACTCCGCGCCAGGTGTTGACACGGCAGGTATGTTAACCAAGCCGCTCGAGAAAATCCATGAAAATGACGTTAGCTATTCATAGTAGCGCGAGTTGTTAATATTGTCATAGTGAACTCGGGCGGTTCATCCTTGTATCGGTACTTATTATTAAATGTACTGAGTGATAATTTCGAGTTTTCGTTAACTTTTGCGTAGAGAGAACTCTACTGTACATTTGGAACGGACGTCGTCGGACACCGAAAAAATGTACAAACTACCCAGCCTGGCGAAAATGGAGTACTAAGCGTGCAACAACATCGACCGTGACACGTATGACTTGATGGACACACCAGACATCGATATGAAAAATTGTTGTGAGTCGCTGCTAGAATTATTAAAAATCGACAAAAGCCAAGACGAGCACAACGATAGGCAGACAATGTTCAGGCGGTCTCAGTTCGCCATCGAAGACGATAGGTTTAAACACATATGCGAGAAGGCAGCGTTCAACGGACACATCGATTGCATGAAATTAGCACACGAGATTGGCGTCCCTTGGGACACCGTGCGTGGAACGACCGGTTACGTGTCCGCACGGGAAATCGGATGCCACTGGAACAAGTATACGAGCACAACCACAGCGTCCAATGTCGTACAAAGTGTCTGAAATACGCACTCGAAAATGGATGTCCATGGGAAGAAGATACATGCCTAGCTTACGCCTTTGAGAGCGGGTGCTACAGGCAAGAATATACGTGCAGCCAGGCAACATTGTACGGTCACCTGGAGTGCCTGAATTACGCACACGAAAACGGATGTCCCTGGGACGAAGATACATGCATACCTTACGCCTTTGAGAACGGGTGCCCCTGGCACGAATATACGTGCAGCTCCGCCGCGTTCAACGGCCACCTGGAGTGCCTGACTTACGCCTTTGAAAACGGGTGCTCCTGGCAAGAATATACGTGCAGCCACGCCGCATTGTACGGTCACCTGGAGTGCCTGAATTAATTAAAAAAATAAAGACCGACCATGCCCCATTCTGGTCGGATTAGAAATAGTCCACAAATCACAAGTATAATGAATCAATAGTAAGAATATTCTACTCCGCGCCAGATGGTGACACGGCAGGTATGTTAACCAAGCCGCTCGAGAAAATCCATGAAAATGACGTTAGCTATTCATAGTAGCGCGAGTTGTTAATATTGTCATAGTGAACTCGGGCGGTTCATCCTTGTATCGGTACTTATTATTAAATGTACTGAGTGATAATTTCGAGTTTTCGTTAACTTACGCGTAGAGAGAACTCTACTGTACATTTGGAACGGACGTCGTCGGACACCGAAAAAATGTACAAACTACCCAGCCTGGCGAAAATGGAGTACTAAGCGTGCAACAACATCGACCGTGACACGTATGACTTGATGGACACACCAGACATCGATATGAAAAATTGTTGTGAGTCGCTGCTAGAATTATTAAAAATCGACAAAAGCCAAGACGAGCACAACGATAGGCAGACAATGTTCAGGCGGTCTCAGTTCGCCATCGAAGACGATAGGTTTAAACACATATGCGAGAAGGCAGCGTTCAACGGGCACATCGAATGCATGAAATTAGCACACGAGATTGGCGTCCCTTGGGACACCGTGCGTGGAACGACCGGTTACGTGTCCGCACGGGAAATCGGATGCCACTGGAACAAGTATACGAGCACAACCGCAGCGTCCAACGTCGTACAAAGTGTCTGAAATACGCACTCGAAAATGGATGTCCATGGGAAGAAGATACATGCCACTGGCAGCGGGAAATCGGATGCCACTGGAACAAGTATACGAGCACAGAAGCAGCGTCCAACGTCACATGAAGTGTCTGAAATACGCACACGAAAATGGATGTCCATGGGAAGAAGATACATGCCTAGCTTACGCCTTTGAGAACGGGTGCTACATTCAAGAATATACGTGCAGCCAGGCAACATTGTACGGTCACCTGGAGTACCTGAATTACGCACGGGAAATCGGATGCCACTGGAACAAGTAAACGAGCACAACCGCTGCGTCCAACGTCATATGAAGTGTCTGAAATACGCACACGAAAATGGATGTCCATGGGAAGAATATACATGCCTAGCTTACGCCTTTGAGAACGGGTGCTACAGGCAAGAATATACGTGCAGCCAGGCAACATTGTACGGTCACCTGGAGTGCCTTAATTACGCACACGAAAACGGATGTCCCTGGGATGAAGATACATGCCTAGCTTACGCCTTTGAGAACGGGTGCCCCTGGCACGAATATACGTGCAGCTCCGCCGCGTTCAACGGCCACCTGGAGTGCCTGACTTACGCCTTTGAAAACGGGTGCTCCTGGCAAGAATATACGTGCAGCCACGCCGCATTGTACGGTCACCTGGAGTGCCTGAATTAATTAAAAAAATAAAGACCGACCATGCCCCATTCTGGTCGGATTAGAAATAGTCCACAAATCACAAGTATAACGAATCAATAGTAAGAATATTCTACTCCGCGCCAGATGGTGACACGGCAGGTATGTTAACCAAGCCGCTCGAGAAAATCCATGAAAATGACGTTAGCTATTCATAGTAGCGCGAGTTGTTAATATTGTCATAGTGAACTCGGGCGGTTCATCCTTGTATCGGTACTTATTATTAAATGTACTGAGTGATAATTTCGAGTTTTCGTTAACTTACGCGTAGAGAGAACTCTACTGTACATTTGGAACGGACGTCGTCGGACACCGAAAAAATGTACAAACTACCCAGCCTGGCGAAAATGGAGTACTAAGCGTGCAACAACATCGACCGTGACACGTATGACTTGATGGACACACCAGACATCGATATGAAAAATTGTTGTGAGTCGCTGCTAGAATTATTAAAAATCGACAAAAGCCAAGACGAGCACAACGATAGGCAGACAATGTTCAGGCGGTCTCAGTTCGCCATCGAAGACGATAGGTTTAAACACATATGCGAGAAGGCAGCGTTCAACGGGCACATCGATTGCATGAAATTAGCACACGAGATTGGCGTCCCTTGGGACACCGTGCGTGGAACGACCGGTTACGTGTCCGCACGGGAAATCGGATGCCACTGGAACAAGTATACGAGCACAACCGCAGCGTCCAACGTCGTACAAAGTGTCTGAAATACGCACTCGAAAATGGATGTCCATGGGAAGAAGATACATGCCACTGGCAGCGGGAAATCGGATGCCACTGGAACAAGTATACGAGCACAACCGCTGCGTCCAACGTCATATGAAGTGTCTGAAATACGCACACGAAAATGGATGTCCCTGGGATGAAGATACATGCCTAGCTTACGCCTTTGAGAACGGGTGCCCCTGGCACGAATATACGTGCAGCTCCGCCGCGTTCAACGGCCACCTGGAGTGCCTGACTTACGCCTTTGAAAACGGGTGCTCCTGGCAAGAATATACGTGCAGCCACGCCGCATTGTACGGTCACCTGGAGTGCCTGAATTAATTAAAAAAATAAAGACCGACCATGCCCCATTCTGGTCGGATTAGAAATAGTCCACAAATCACAATTATAACGAATCAATAGTAAGAATATTCTACTCCGCGCCAGGTGGTGACACGGCAGGTATGTTAACCAAGCCGCTCGAGAAAATCCATGAAAATGACGTTAGCTATTCATAGTAGCGCGAGTTGTTAATATTGTCATAGTGAACTCGGGCGGTTCATCCTTGTATCGGTACTTATTATTAAATGCACTGAGTGATAATTTCGAGTTTTCGTTAACTTACGCGTAGAGAGAACTCTACTGTACATTTGGAACGGACGTCGTCGGACACCGAAAAAATGTACAAACTACCCAGCCTGGCGAAAATGGAGTACTAAGCGTGCAACAACATCGACCGTGACACGTATGACTTGATGGACACACCAGACATCGATATGAAAAATTGTTTTGAGTCGCTGCTAGAATTATTAAAAATCGACAAAAGCCAAGACGAGCACAACGATAGGCAGACAATGTTCAGGCGGTCTCAGTTCGCCATCGAAGACGATAGGTTTAAACACATATGCGAGAAGGCAGCGTTCAACGGACACATCGATTGCATGAAATTAGCACACGAGATTGGCGTCCCTTGGGACACCGTGCGTGGAACGACCGGTTACGTGTCCGCACGGGAAATCGGATGCCACTGGAACAAGTATACGAGCACAACCACAGCGTCCAATGTCGTACAAAGTGTCTGAAATACGCACTCGAAAATGGATGTCCATGGGAAGAAGATACATGCCTAGCTTACGCCTTTGAGAGCGGGTGCTACAGGCAAGAATATACGTGCAGCCAGGCAACATTGTACGGTCACCTGGAGTGCCTGAATTACGCACACGAAAACGGATGTCCCTGGGACGAAGATACATGCATAGCTTACGCCTTTGAGAACGGGTGCCCCTGGCACGAATATACGTGCAGCTCCGCCGCGTTCAACGGCCACCTGGAGTGCCTGACTTACGCCTTTGAAAACGGGTGCTCCTGGCAAGAATATACGTGCAGCCACGCCGCATTGTACGGTCACCTGGAGTGCCTGAATTAATTAAAAAAATAAAGACCGACCATGCCCCATTCTGGTCGGATTAGAAATAGTCCACAAATCACAAGTATAATGAATCAATAGTAAGAATATTCTACTCCGCGCCAGATGGTGACACGGCAGGTATGTTAACCAAGCCGCTCGAGAAAATCCATGAAAATGACGTTAGCTATTCATAGTAGCGCGAGTTGTTAATATTGTCATAGTGAACTCGGGCGGTTCATCCTTGTATCGGTACTTATTATTAAATGTACTGAGTGATAATTTCGAGTTTTCGTTAACTTACGCGTAGAGAGAACTCTACTGTACATTTGGAACGGACGTCGTCGGACACCGAAAAAATGTACAAACTACCCAGCCTGGCGAAAATGGAGTACTAAGCGTGCAACAACATCGACCGTGACACGTATGACTTGATGGACACACCAGACATCGATATGAAAAATTGTTGTGAGTCGCTGCTAGAATTATTAAAAATCGACAAAAGCCAAGACGAGCACAACGATAGGCAGACAATGTTCAGGCGGTCTCAGTTCGCCATCGAAGACAATAGGTTTAAACACATATGCGAGAAGGCAGCGTTCAACGGGCACATCGATTGCATGAAATTAGCACACGAGATTGGCGTCCCTTGGGACACCGTGCGTGGAACGACCGGTTACGTGTCCGCACGGGAAATCGGATGCCACTGGAACAAGTATACGAGCACAACCGCAGCGTCCAATGTCGTACAAAGTGTCTGAAATACGCACTCGAAAATGGATGTCCATGGGAAGAAGATACATGCCTAGCTTACGCCTTTGAGAGCGGGTGCTACAGGCAAGAATATACGTGCAGCCAGGCAACATTGTACGGTCACCTGGAGTGCCTGAATTACGCACACGAAAACGGATGTCCCTGGGACGAAGATACATGCCTAGCTTACGCCTTTGAGAACGGGTGCCCCTGGCACGAATATACGTGCAGCTCCGCCGCGTTCAACGGCCACCTGGAGTGCCTGACTTACGCCTTTGAAAACGGGTGCTCCTGGCAAGAATATACGTGCAGCCACGCCGCATTGTACGGTCACCTGGAGTGCCTGAATTAATTAAAAAAATAAAGACCGACCATGCCCCATTCTGGTCGGATTAGAAATAGTCCACAAATCACAAGTATAATGAATCAATAGTAAGAATATTCTACTCCGCGCCAGATGGTGACACGGCAGGTATGTTAACCAAGCCGCTCGAGAAAATCCATGAAAATGACGTTAGCTATTCATAGTAGCGCGAGTTGTTAATATTGTCATAGTGAACTCGGGCGGTTCATCCTTGTATCGGTACTTATTATTAAATGTACTGAGTGATAATTTCGAGTTTTCGTTAACTTACGCGTAGAGAGAACTCTACTGTACATTTGGAACGGACGTCGTCGGACACCGAAAAAATGTACAAACTACCCAGCCTGGCGAAAATGGAGTACTAAGCGTGCAACAACATCGACCGTGACACGTATGACTTGATGGACACACCAGACATCGATATGAAAAATTGTTGTGAGTCGCTGCTAGAATTATTAAAAATCGACAAAAGCCAAGACGAGCACAACGATAGGCAGACAATGTTCAGGCGGTCTCAGTTCGCCATTAAAGACGATAGGTTTAAACACATATGCGAGAAGGCAGCGTTCAACGGGCACATCGAATGCATGAAATTAGCACACGAGATTGGCGTCCCTTGGGACACCGTGCGTGGAACGACCGGTTACGTGTCCGCACGGGAAATCGGATGCCACTGGAACAAGTATACGAGCACAACCGCAGCGTCCAACGTCGTACAAAGTGTCTGAAATACGCACTCGAAAATGGATGTCCATGGGAAGAAGATACATGCCACTGGCAGCGGGAAATCGGATGCCACTGGAACAAGTATACGAGCACAACCGCAGCGTCCAATGTCGTACAAAGTGTCTGAAATACGCACTCGAAAATGGATGTCCATGGGAAGAAGATACATGCCTAGCTTACGCCTTTGAGAGCGGGTGCTACAGGCAAGAATATACGTGCAGCCAGGCAACATTGTACGGTCACCTGGAGTGCCTGAATTACGCACACGAAAACGGATGTCCCTGGGACGAAGATACATGCCTAGCTTACGCCTTTGAGAACGGGTGCCCCTGGCACGAATATACGTGCAGCTCCGCCGCGTTCAACGGCCACCTGGAGTGCCTGACTTACGCCTTTGAAAACGGGTGCTCCTGGCAAGAATATACGTGCAGCCACGCCGCATTGTACGGTCACCTGGAGTGCCTGAATTAATTAAAAAAATAAAGACCGACCATGCCCCATTCTGGTCGGATTAGAAATAGTCCACAAATCACAAGTATAATGAATCAATAGTAAGAATATTCTACTCCGCGCCAGATGGTGACACGGCAGGTATGTTAACCAAGCCGCTCGAGAAAATCCATGAAAA